ACTACAATCTGAATAGAATTAGAATAGGCTCTGAACTGAGTTAAGGTCTTTTATTAAACATTAAGTATAACTCCTTCGTTAGTCCTCTGCAGTACTTAAGCATGAAAAGATCTGCTCATTCCTCCAAATGAAACTGCTGAGTGTTACATTTGTTTAAATAAAAAACCCTGTGGTTTCAGAATGCTGTTGCATTGTTATAAAGGATAACCTCTTCCTAAGACTATACATGGGACTGCTCACATTCTAAATGTTGGGTTTCCTTATTGGTTGTTTTTGTGGGTTTGGTTTTGTTTTTGTTTTTTTTTCTCAACCATGGCATACTTATCAGTGTTGCTGGTTCAGGTGCCAAAATTAATGTTAGACTAGAAAAGATGATATAAGGGAAAAACAAGACCTAGAAACAACTAAAAAGGTTTGTATTGTCATTCTCTGCTTTCTGTGGCTTTATTTACTTAAATCTTTTATGGTAAGTGTGGGTCACATTTTCCTGCAGTTCTCTAGTACTAAAGAGGCTTAGAATTATGGTTCATGAATTTTAATGGGTTGAGCTTATTATGTAATCATATGCTGGGCCTTGAATTAAATCACCAAATAAGAGAAGAACTGCATTTAGAGAGATCAGAGCTGAAGATGCTGATTTTTAAATGTCTTTGTTGTATTTTGCCATGGATATCTCAGATATCTAATGCAGTCAGTCCCTTATACTATTCCTCAGCCCTTTGCAGGTGTCCCTGCATTAGTGAACATCTGATGTACATTTAAAATTTGGTTTTACAACCATGAGGCCTAGAGACTTCATAGTATTTATAGTGAAAGCCTGAGTTCTAGAGCACAGGCTACCACCTTACATGTGCAGAGCCAGCTTAGCCCTGTTTCACTTCTGTTTTTTCTCCCTGTGACTGGGATTTTGGTATTAGGGTCTTCTTCATTCCTGCCTCCTCTTCCATTCCCAGTCCTCACACTCAGCTGGGCTGGGGCAGGCTGTTTGCCCTGGAGACCTCTTATTCATTTAGCAGGGTAGGGAGAGCCAGGTGGCTTTAGCAAAACCCAGGTTTTTGTGCGTCCTTCCACACAAAAGGGTTGTTCTTGTTGTTGAAAGCTGCCTTCATCTGTAAGTGTTAAAACTGTCAGAGCTGGGTTTCCAGGGCAGTTTCAGATGAAATGTAAAGTAGATGTTTTCCGTCTGAGAGAGGCTGCGTGCATAGAAGCCTTGTGGGAGTTTGGTTTTTGGCTTCATCCCTCCCTGTCTGCTGCTGGTGTGCTGGGCTGCAGCAGCCTGGTCAGGAAGAAAAGTAACTGGGTGGTGTGAGGCTGTTCACCGTCAGTCTGGACCAAGTCAATTTAAGTAATTTTTAGAGGAGGTGATGGGGTCTGAAACAAATCCTTCTGTTAGTGACAAACATGAATCCCTCTACTTCTAAATGTATTTGTCTGTCTGTATCTCTGTTTTCATGCATGCACCAATTTAACAAATTTGTTTTTCCTTTTTTTTTTCTGTTTTCAGAAGGTTGACTCAGACTGAAGAGGATTAATGTATATTCTCTGTTTCTGAGTGTTTGTGGTTGTTTTTTTGTTTGGTTTTGTTTATTTGTTTGTTTTTTTCAAATAGTTCTCTTCATCTTTTGATTTCTATACAGCTTCTGTGAATAGTGATTTCCAAGTAGCCCAGTGCATGCTTGCTTTCCTCCTTTTCTGCATATTTTACTCCAGCACTTAACTGTTTGTCCATTCAAAGAAAATATTTCTCAGGTTCAGGAGTAATCTAGCACAGCATGGTTTGTTGAGCTACAGGGTATCATACTGAGGCAATCATCCTTGGATGTTGACCTGGCAGAGATTTTGTTACAGCCACTCTACCTATTCGTTTTGTTTTGTCTTTTGTCTTAAAGCTTGAGGCCCTTTTCTAAGTGTGATACATGCTTTATTTCATTTTTCCTTCCTTCACTCCTTTGTTACTATGGACTGTTGCAGATATGCCAAGACCATTATAGCATGAGATGAAAACTGTTTTCTAGATTGTGAGGAAGAAATACATTTTAAAGCCAAGATTTGGTAGGTTATAAAAAGAGAAGGAAAAGGTTGGGTTCAGAGGGTCTTGTATTTTACTGCCATGCTTGAAAGCTGCCTAGGATAGACAAGGTCTCTTACTGTCCTACAACTCTTCCTTTGCTTCCTTGTGCTCACCCTCTTACCAGATGATAGCCACAGGGTTAATGCAGTAGAGCATCCCGGCATAGGACGTGACATACGAGGAGAGAACAATGGTGCTGAAATTCTTTTACACTAGGGGCAACAGATCTATCAGCAAAAATACAAACATGGCTGATTCCACAAAGGCACATTTGTAGAGAAATTAAATGAAATGTGAGTTGTATAATTTGCTATGAAGAGCGCTGGATAACACGGCAGAGAGTTAGCAGTCTTCTATTAAAATGATGCCAGAATAAGCAAGGGGTCACTCTGTTAGTTCCAATGCGTTTATAACTGATTGCTTCACTGGTGACTTTGGCTTCTCGTTTTATAGTTAAATGCTGAGAAATGGAGCAAGGCTGAGTGGTTACAGCTTTCAGACTCCTTTTTCACAGTAATGTTAGCTACTGCTGCACAATCCAGTCTGTGGAGCACCCCAGGATTTCCCACATCTTGTAGACAAGCAGGGCTAAAGATGGAGGTCCTGGGACAAAAGGCACCTGCAAGCTGTGGAGGAGGAGCAGTGGAGCAGAGCAGGGGCTGGCTGTGGGGCTGGGGAAGCACAGAAGAACACTCCAGGGGCTGGAAAACTCTGTGTGGGGATGTGAAGCACCAGGGAGTAATGGGGGAACAGGGAACAGGGTGGTCAAACTGTGCTTGAGGTACAAATATTTAAGGGGACTTCATGTGAGCTTGTGGATCGGTGGTGATCGCAGGTTACCACCCATGGCACATATCAGTCTGGGTTCCTGGGAATGGCTGGTACACTGGGTGTACCTGTCTAATCTGAACAATAATTCCAAGCTTGACTCCTAACTGCATTGCTTATTTTTGGTGGCAATAGTAAAACAACCCTTTGCTTTTCAGTAAGCTATGGGTTCCGTGAGGGTAGGAGCACACAAACCTGGCCGTGGGGTCTCATACTATGCTTGGTTTTGAAGGTGTGATTTGTGCTGCCAAATGTCTATAGACCCTGGGGAACACAGTAGCCGTAGGGAAGACTGTAACGTCAATCCTTTTTTCTTAACTGTGAAATAACAGGCATATTGTTTGTGCTAATTTCCCTAGTAGGAAGTTGTAGGTGAAGATAGCCTTTATCATGCTGGGAATCGCAGGTGGTCAGACTCCTGCTAAATTAATTTTTTTTTTGCCAAGTAAAGAAAGAAGGCAGGCACCACCTCCCCAGCAGGCGTAGGGGCTGAGGAGTTCAAACTGAAGAGGTTTTCTTGGTCGAGAGTGGCAGGAGACAGGGAGGAAGCACAGGTATGGGGGTTTTGGCAGAGGTTTTGTGTAGCACATAACCTTTGGTAGATGCATCTCTTGGTAGTTTTTGCATGCTGATTATTTACTGAGAGGCCAGATTTCATAAACGTCAAGGTTGGGTTTCATACTGTACTGAGTAAACATACCAGTATGAAGAAACAAAGAGGGAAACCTGGTACAGCCAGGGTTTCTGCCAAAAGTACCTGGGAAAAGGAAATGGTTACAGTAAGACGAGGGAGGGTCAGTTGTGAGGCTGTAACAGGTAAAAAAATAGCATATTTCTGGTCTTCGATGTCTATCTACATATTTGGTTTTTCTCCAGTTACGGGGGTAGGTAGTTATAAGTAATAACTTAAAGAAATGAAGGGGCCCTTGGAGAGGGAAAAAGGATAAGTAGAAAGAATTGATGAAGAAGATAAAGATTTCATGGGAGATGTATGTGGATTTCCTCATTTTTCAAAGTGGTTTTAGTCTCGTGTCCTGGGATGAGTGTTTTAAAAGCATGTTCTGCAATAAGCACAGGTTGTAAATCTTGTTGCCTACCTCTGACCTGGGAGAAGGTATTTCCTTTGGGAAAGAATGTGGGGAAAAAAAGAGCAAGGAAATGTTTGTGACTATAAGTCATCACATGCCATAACCCCCTGTACTTCATTCACATAGATTTATATTTGCATTAAGCTCTTCTGGTGTAAGTAAGAAAAAGCATTGCCCAGAAGAGATCCCTGAGTAGCTGTAACAAAAGGACAAGAGCTGCTGTGTGCAAATTGTATGTTGCTTAAAGAAAGAAAGTGAGTGCCTGTGTTACCATGGAGTTGTGAGGTACAGCAGAAAAAAAAAAAAAAAAGATGGGAAAAAGACAAATTATTCTTTCTGGACTCTGACTGTACTGTCCAATATCTGACTGCTTGTCTCACAACACAGTTTCCTGTAGGGTTGCACAGAGGATCAGGGAGCTGAGTTTGGGATGTGATTAATTCTTGCCTCCACTTTAACTTCAGGAGCTATATAGCATCACAAATCTTAATTTCCACAAGGACCCATCATCTCTAAAGTCTCTCTCTCTTTTCTTGCCTCTCCAATGTAAGACCCCAACCTGTTTTCCTTTAAAGTCTGTATCTCTGCTTTTTTATTACATGGAGAATAATTTGGTGGTGAGACAGACTTAAAGCTGTATACCTTGGTATAAAACTGCTGTTTAATCAAACGTCCTTGGTTTTGGTAATCTCCTTGCTGCTGTATCAGCTTTCCTTTTGCCAGATCAGTATTAAACGTTTGGCTAAAGCTGAGTCTATGACAGTGGGAATTTTATTATCAAGAGCAGTGCTGTGGTGCTAGATGTGTTTTGGCTCTGAATGTAAAGGCACAAAGTTATGGCAACAGCTCCCAAGTCTTCTCGCTCTCATTATGAAGCTAAAATCTGCAAAATAAATTGTAAAAAGGAAACCTGTCTTTTCAAAGAAAATGTGTAATGGATATAAAAGTGTGAATGTTTCAGTTAAAGCTGATGAGCACAATTTCTCATGGTGCTTTGCTTTGTTTTTCAGCTCATGGGGCACTCAGAATGGGATCACAAACGAGGACCCAGAGGCTCACAGGTCAGTTCCTTGGTATTTTGTGCTTGGGTTTGACTTTTTGTAAGTTTGAGGCGTTTGAGCAAGTTTTCCATGTGAAATTGGCAAAGTTGAGCATTTTGTTAGTATTTTCAGGATTGAATCAATAGAAAAAAAAAAGCATAAAACTGTGACAGCTTTCATTAATGTGATTTTTGAGCTGTAATCCAAACAACTGATCCGGAGAGAGCGGAGTCATGCAACACAAAGTTTCTCAATAAGCAGAAAGGTGGATTAGATGTGTTGAGAAAGCATTTCTTGTTCAGCTGTCTCCATCAGGATATCAAAGGAATGCAATTTCAAATAATGTGTGTATGTTTTGTGGTGGTGTTTTGGTTTTTATTTTCAAGCTGACAACTTGTAAAACTTGGACAGCCCTCTCACCTTGTTTAGTAATAAAGGGATTAGTGGTGTCAAACTCTGTGGGGAGGTGCAGGAGAGCCACGTGTAGCTACTGGCTTCTTCTTGACGCATGACTGAATGGAAGTTATGGTGGTGGTGTTAATGGAATCATGCTGATACATTTTTAAATTATCTACAGAATTACAGTTTCTTCCAAGGAGACATTGCTACCAATATTAATGTTCAGGAATCTTCCTGCTTGGGTAAAGCAGTCTTTCCCATCTGGTGTTGAAATCATATAAGTACATTAATAGGGCTGTGGTATTTTGGAATTGCCTTTCCTTCAGGTGAAGGATTTTTATGTGATTATGAACATCTATGTCTAAATCTATAATAAACAGGCTTTGCTGCTTTGGAGCTACGTGTTTGCAACCTTAATCTCAATAGGGTCATTCCTAGCCTAGACTTCATAATGCCTCTTGCAAAAATCACTGGAGAATCTGTTTTTGATGAGGAAGCACCTTGTGTTAATCAGGAAGCTGCTGCTTAATTTAATGGACAAAATTTGCTATTTTCAATGCAAAATTAATTTATTAAGTTCTGCTTTTTTACCCTTACTGCTGCAGAATTCTACATATTTTTCTGAAGTTTTCTAAGCTTCTGTCTTGCATTTCAAATCCATCTTTAAATTTGCAGAAAATTCAGTATTTCATTAAACAATTTAAGATGGGTTGCAGATTGGATTTTTTCAGGTGACAGTCTGTAAATTTAAAACGATAAAAAAAATAGCAAGCTAGTTTTCAGTGGAAACTAAGAAATTTCAGATATCAGAGAATTCCTATCTACTAAGGTGAGACCTCTTCAGTACATAATCTCCTGGGTCTCATGTGCTAGTTGATCAAGTTGTGTTCTTCTGGCCCAAAGAGTAGAAGGTAAATTGGACTCCCCTATGTTGAGAGGAAGGCTGTCACTTGAAGGACTCTTAAGGTGACTTTGACTTCCTAAACTTTTGTGGCATTATTGCAAATCTTCATCTAATTTTTGTATTCATCTGAAAATATGAGTAGTCTTCTACATGCTCTGAACCATGCCCTACAGTCCTGATGCTTTGCCTGTGGCAGCAAAATGTATTGAGACTGCTGACTGGAGTGAATATGAAGTCTGTGCTGGTGTTGCATCAGAGATGAAGGCTTAAGTCCTGTCTAAGTTCTGATACCTTGTGTGGGCTGCATGCCCCTGTGCTTGAAGGATTTTTTGTGGCTGGCATTTTTGAAGGTTTATAGCCAGCCAATAAGAAATGTTACAGAAAGGGATTTAGGTATGAGGTGAGTGGTATCAATCTTGGTCCAAATAGATTTTAAATTAAAAAGTAAGACAGATCAAGTTGACTATCAAAATGTGTCTTGCTGCAGGAAATTGGACTTGGGTTTTTTAATAGATCCCTTTTGAATTTTCTTGAAAAGTGAACTCATGGGATGAAGTAGTTGCCAAAGAATTTTCTAATTCTCTGTTCTCATGAGGCCACAGTTTATGCCAAGGAGAGTTCCAGAGAAATTAATATATTGCCTGGTTTCTCTCTTTCACCCCTTCCTGAGAATAAAGAGGGCTTGCGTGACATGGTCTAATTTCAGCAGATCTTGTGGGCATTAACTCAGTCACTGCAAATGCCCAATTTGTTGGGCACTGTTGGAGAAAGTTGTACTTGGACACAATGAGATAACTGGCTACTAAACATTCAGATAAAGTTCTCTGGGTTTCAGTAGAGGCTTAGAAGGAGATCATTGTGAGAAGATAACGCTATATAAATTTATAAATTTTCCTTTGTCTTTCTGAGAATGGTTTTGTTCCTTCTTAGCATGATGTTTTAGATACTCCACCACCATTTTGTATTAAAAATTTTTGAAAAAAGAGGGTGACTAGAAGTTCAGTGAAATTCTCTGCAGGCCAGCCAGCAATCATTTGAACCTTTCCTGAGGGATATTGTTGTACTATTACAAGCATTATTCTAGAAAGCTCTGTATCAGATTTTCATGTAGAAGACTTCTGCTGATTGTTTTTTTCTTAGGCAGAATGTCGTATAATTTTCTTTTTTTTTGACAAAATAAGCAAAAATAGTTCACCCCTGAGAGTGCATTCCTTCAAAACAGGATAAAATCTGCATATGTAGGGTTTGCTTGACAAAGCAGCAAGGTGTTTCCTTCTAGATCCATCTAAAAAGGAATGCATAGTTTTAATCAATTTCACCCTCTAAGCACTCCTCAATTTCATTTGTGGTGTGTTATAGGTGTTCTGAAAAGCTTCTAGAAAGCTGTTACAAATCTTGGAATAACCTTATAAAACTAACAATCAATATGTATCGAGGAAATTTTAAAGGATCTTGAATAGAATGGGAAATGAAAATGACCTAAATTCTCTGATTACCATATGGTATCCTAGTGCCCAGTTGAAAAGAAGCAAGGAAGAAAAGCTTTGTTAGGGGGAAGAAAATCAGCCTCAGTTATTCCACTTGTAGCCTTAGACTCTCTCTTTTATGTGACTCTGAAAACTATCTTTGACAGGAATAGTGTTAAACCTAATTTAACTAGTTCATTGGATGGTTAGGAGAAATTTAGGTGGTTCCAATTTTTGCATGTAACACAAAAGACCCGTTTTATCCTTTCATGGTTCAGTTGCGTTGTTGCCGATTTGTGTCTTCAATAAATCACCCTTCATTAAATAAGATCTGGCTTAAAAATTAAGATGAGTAATCTGTTAGGTATACTTCTGCTTCAAATCTAATGGTTGAAGTGTTTAGGGATGGACTGGCAATTGTCTGCAGATCTGCCATGGGATTGCTCATGGTGTTTCCCTAGGTCTGAAGGGCTTTCCTTCAGCAAAGACATAGGACTTGGGAGGAGAAGTCCCTCCTGGCTAGTGGTAGCTCACACTGCTTGGGCAAGAGTGAGAGGGACGGAAAGGGTTTATAGGCTTATGGTATTGGGAGCCAACTTGTTAGTGTTCCATGATCTTGTAATTCTTATGGAGTAAAGTGAAGAAAGTGGGAGGATAGATTTTAGGAAGCCACCTGCATGTAAGAATGGTGGCAATGTCACTTATGAGAAAAAGAAAACGGAACCACTAGTTTACCATAAAACTAATATTTCCATACAAACCCAAAATTATTCTACCAAGACTCATTAAACAAAACTCTAAATCTGGTAAGATTTTTTTAAAGTAGTAGGTTTTCTAGGGTATGTATTGAAACGTGAGAGGAAGCTACTACAGTGCATGTCATACTTCTTAATGACCCATTTGGAAAACGTGTTCCTTTTCTGCATGTGGGAGTTAAATGCAAAGTCATATAGTTACAGGTAGTGATGGATGACAAATGAAATACACTGGGGCTTGTGGGAATTCCTGTGTGCAGGAGTTTTTCTCCTAGTAAGCTTCTGCAGTTCAATAGAATGTAAATGGGACAAGTAAAAAGCTGTCTTTACACCTTGTTCATGAGTTCCACACCAACACTGCGCTTCATTTTTTATAGATTGCACATATATATGTGTATATTGTAGGATTCTTTTTCTTCTAGAATAATTAGACTATCGTGGCTGCTGTAATTAAAGTGAATTATAGGTTACCTTACAAAGAGCAGTGAGTTCCTGGATACCTGTTGCCTGGTTTGTTTATTTTTTCCTTTCCTTTTGGTCTCTGAAGATAACACTTCACATGCAGTCTGTAAAACTGGGGAAAATATTCATACCCATTTCTGATACCAGTACATGCTACAGGGAAATGTGACCAGCAGAATTCATCCTTGCCATATTTTATCCCTCTGCAGAAAAAAATAGGCAAACTGTATTTTACTTTTCCTACTAAAACATAATGCTTGATACTTGGAAGATATTTCAGGTGTAACCCAGAGCGTGCTTTGTGCACAGGTTTCTACGAGAGACCTTGAATGTGTGGGAGGTATTTGTTGCTCTCTCACCAGGAGTTGTTTGGCTTGCTGAAGATGTAGGCGTAGCCCCAGGAGTCAGCGGAATCGAGCGATCGTTCTCCAGCATTATAAAAGGATAATTATCAGGAGAGAAACACAGAGGTCCAGCGTTTTTAATTCTCTTTAAACATAAAAGCTCTCAATTATATATCTGAGGTGCTGCATTTTACCCCTCCAGTTCCTAAGCAACAGCTACTTTCAGATTGAGTGCGTCTGGTGTTGTCTACCTACTTGAGGCTTTTGCGAGGTAATTCGTCAGTGGGAGCTGGGCTCCTCGCTGGCCTGCCCTCCTCCCTCTGCCCTGGCACTGGGAGGAGACGGGTGCTCTGGGAAAAGAGGAGAGCCTGGGGTGTAGCCCCCCTCAACCTTGCAGCTTGCAAAAGCTTGTGTGCGTCGGGGAGCTCTGCCATCTACAGCGATGAAGCGCAGGAGCCAGAAATAAGGTTCTGGACACTGGTCTGGGAGAAGCCTTTTTCTCAAGGGTGGAGAAGCCTCTCGAGCAGAATCACCATGGCGAGCCGGAAGTCCCTGTACCTGCTGAAGCGTAGGTGGGAGTCAATCCCCGCTGCTGACCAGGTACTGTGCTCTGCTCCATCTCTTGTGTCTCTGTCTTCCCTCGCGTGCCACTGTGAAGAGACTTGCGGTAGTTTAGCAGTGGTGCTTGGGC